AGGGCAACATAGCACAAAAAAAGGCACAACAAAAAGCACAAAAAAAAACACAACTCCGAGGACAACATAGCACAAAAAAAAGGCACAACCAAAAGCACAAAAAAACCACAACTCCGAGGACAACATATCACAAAAAAAAGCGCAAGAAAACCCACAACTCCGAGGACAACATATCACAAAAAAAAGCACAACCAAAAGCACAAAAAAAACCACAACTCCGAGGACAACATAGCACAAAAAAAGCACAAGAAAACCCACAACTCCGAGGACAACATAGCACAAAAAAAAACACAACCGAAAGCACAAAAAAAACCACAACTCCGAGGACAACATAGCACAAAAAAAACACAAGAAAACCCACAACTCCGAGGACAACATAGCACAAAAAAAACACAACCAAAAGCACAAAAAAAACACAACTCCGAAAACACAACTCCGAGGACAACATAGCACACAAAAAACACAACAAAAAGCACAAAAAATACCACAACTGCGGGTTCAGGTTGTTTTGCCTGGACAAAATGACCTGGCAGTTGTGCTTGTTCTGGTGGGCTATGGGCACCCGTTTACATTTACTTTTGTAAGGCAGGGCCGTCCTCCAGGCAGCCAGCCCAGCCAGGCAGCCCAGCCAGCCAGCCAGCCAGCGACATCCATAGAAGCCCAGCCAATCAAGGTGTTGAAGAACCGAAAATGAAAACCTCTATATGTGACACTGTGTGTGTGAGACTGGCTGGCTGAGGATGCCCAGTGAACAAAGACACTGAATCCAGCTTCCTAGAAAGAATGCCTTGGTTCTGTCAGGGGAGTTTGGGAATTTGTGCTTGGATCAGCTTCCAGATTCAAAAAACAATGATTTTTGAATTCTTTGTTGTGCGTTTTTTTGTGGTTTTGTTTGTGCTCACTGTCAGTGTAACCCTAAAACCCTAAAGCCTAAATCCGTGTGAACACCCAAGGCCCTAAAGCAATGTTGGCCTGCCTGTCCTTGTAATTCCCCAGCCAAGGCACCAGAGACCACAACCAGGGAGCACAAATCGAGCACCAGATTTGACGAAAATGAGCACCAGATTTCAAAAACAAACATTTGAACATTTTGTTTTATTGGGGAGGACCAGGTAGCCAGCCAGCCCCACCGAGGCCCAGCCCCGATGACAGGTAGCCGGCTGCCACGCCGAACGAAAAAGTTTTGTTTTGATTGCGAGCCCACCCGCCCCCATTCCCCCCAGGTCAAAAGGGAGGATGCCATCAGCCCAAGAAGGTAACCCAAACATATGTTCTTGTCCATATTCAAATACCCTCCAAACAAACGCACGGGACCGCGACAGTGAAAACTGATAAATTCTTGCCGATAGCTAGATAAACAAAATAGTGACAAGGACCGACAGACAGATAAGAGGATAGATAGACAGACAGACAGCCAGCCAGCCAGCCAGGCAGGCAGGCAGGCAGACAGACAGACAGACAGATAGAGAGACAGATAGATAGATAGATAGGAAAGCAGTTGAGAGTGTATAAGCTTTTTTGATCACATGATAAGGCTTGCAGGGCTTATTTTCTGGTGCTAGTTTTGTGGTGTCGAGTTGTGGTCACTGTTACTGGCCGGGGAATATCCCAAAACATACATGACGATATGGTATACTCGTCATAAGTTAGTTTGAGCTATCAGCTATCAGAAGGATTTGGAAGATGATATTCTGTGCCAGGCGAGGTCAACATTAGTTTAAATTTGCAGTCTTTGTAAGCTCTTGAAAGGATTTAAGGCCATCCCTCTCTTCCGAGTCTATGGAAGATATTGAAGACCTTGCCCTCCAAAAGCATACAGCTGCATCGTTGATTCCTCCACTCCACCCCATGTTTCTTTGGTGGGGCCGGCAGGTCGCTCCCCGCAGGAGTTGTTTGAGAAGCTTCAGGTGCCCGTGGAGCAGCAAAGACTTCTGCTGGGCGATCGGGAGCTGCGAGATGGAGACGCTCTTCCAACGAGGCTCGAAGCGGCGAGCCGCTGGCAGCCGTGTTTGGGGCGTTGAGACTTCGCCCAGCTGCTGGACCCAGAAACCATCAAAAGCTAGCCGGATTTCTGTGTTTTTTATTTTTTTTTGGGGGGGGGGTTGTTGTTGGCCACCGGACGCAGGAGCATCATCGACAGGAAAGCAATTGAATGGGGCGGGCAAGAAGTTGATTTGGGGAAGCGCATCCATGTGCATCGTGAGTCTGACAATTTCTATCAATTTCTGGTTGGCCAGGTCTTGTTTGGACCTCACGCTCATCAAGCGGCCAGCCGAACAAGCGGAGTGGCGCAAGCAAATGCAGCAGGGCATGGTGGAGAAGTTGAAGGCTTGAAGAAGTGGGTTCAGAAGGGCTGCCTGGTGAGCACTGGCACTTGTTCTGAACAGAACATGCTCCTCTCAAGAACAACCGAGCGGTGGCTAAGCTCAGATGATGACCATCACGGGAGCTCCACGACTTTCACACAGAAGGTCTTCAGTCGCTTTCGCTTTTGGGATGACTCCGTGCCCTGCACGGCCCTGTACACACACAACGCTCGCGGGTCAGTGTAATTATGCTCGTGGTCGGTTTCCATCCATGTATATAATGTGTGTCATCCACTCATGGCAAAAACATGCAGATAAACATGCCAAGCCGAGCCAAGCGATTCCGATAGATTGCACTTAGTTGGAACTTGGTCACCACATGTCACACCTAACTAACAACCCTGAAGCATCCTGAAGCCATGGCGGGTTGACATCCCATACAATTCTGTTATACTGTAATCTGTTATATGATCTTTCTCAAGACTCCTGCGGGCCACGTGCTCTTCCAGGATGCGCCTCGGCACGTGAAAGATGATCGAGAGATTGTGATGGCTGCTGTCTCCGTGGCAGGACCAAGAACTGTCATGTTCCTGGTCGCCCTCCTCATCCACCTCAGAAACCAAAGAGTCCCACCTGAGAGAAACCCAAGGTCGCAATCCCTGAGGGGGGCCGGCTACTGGATGTCAGCCACGTTCGCACCAGCGAGCCGTTCGCACCAGCGAGCCGATCGCAGGATGCAGTTTGGAGCATGCAACGGCCCAATTGCAAGCTGATCCAGAGACGCTGGGAGACTGAACACACTGAACACGCTCGGAGATCGACCCGAAGTGCGCGTTTGGGTGGTTATATCAGATGTATTCAGATGTTATATCAGATGCCTGAAATTCAAGACACGTGCCTAAATTGACCCCTGAAACCGCCCTGATTACCTTCCATACATATAGTGTTTGGGGTTGTTCTTCAGTCTTCAGCCGTGGAAGGGCATGTGGTCGCAAAATCAGGGCCTCCACGCCCACATGACACACGGGGGGCCTGTTGCTCAGGGTTGGGCTGGGAGCAAAGCACGTGTGTTCTACTGTATATGCATTTGCTGTTGATGAATGGGAGACATCCCGCTCCTGTGTGAAGTCCCAGTCCTTGATTATTCTTCATGTTTGGATATGTGGGTGATTGTGGTGTTGTTTTTTAATGTATTTTGTTGCTTTTGCGATGCACCCGCACCCACCATGGTGATGTACAGTATCGTTGGGCACCGGGCGTTGAATGGTCCAAGTATGTTTGGACAGACCCAGTTAAATAACAGCATGGGCGAATCCCGGTCAAGGTTTTTGTTCAACTAAAGGCTGTTTAAATGTCCCTGGCCCCAAAATCGAGGATCGTCTTGGCTGCCACAGAAAACGATTGGCGTGCGCTGCAATTTGCGGATGGATCGCTGAAGAGCAATCGGCGCATTGTCCTGGCAGCAGTGCAACAGGAGATGTCACGGGAGTTGTTTGCACTAAAGGGATCTAAAGGGTGGGCGGCTGTTTCAAAAAGTTTTTTCCTGAAGCAGCCGGTGGGACCCGCGGTGATGTTAGGAAGTCCGACTCCAGAAACATGTAAATGGCCTGAAACATGCTCAGATGCACAAAGTTACACACTACACTTGGCCATTCTCACTTTGATCCATGGGGCCACCATCCAAGTCCCCCATAAGGGTCTATGTGTTTGTTTGCTAAGACTTGGGGGCCGGATGTTGTTCTGGTGACTGGTGGGTCTGTTTGGAGTTCTCCGTCTCAGGATTGGGCAGCGTTGCAATTCGCCTCCCCGAGTGCTCGCGGCGATCACCAGATTGCATTGGCGGCCATGGCCCAGGTGTGGTGTGTAAGGTGAAGGTGTAGGTTTTTTGATTGGGGGGGTACCCTCCCTCTAACGAACATGGAAGCAATGTTTGTAGATGTTTGTAGAGGCACATGGTCTTCCCTGGGGTGATTATTTCAGGAAGGAAGGAAGGGAGGCACATTTGATTCAAAGAAAGAAAAGCATAGAGAGCGACAGAGTGGGAGGGCTTTGAGGCATGGGGCGCCATCTTATTTATCGACCACGGATTGCGAAAGGATCGAGCTTTCCTCTTGCCACTCGGACCTAGTTCTGTGAGAGGATGTGACCTAGTGAGTCTGGTGTGTGTTTGTTTGAGTGCGTGCTAGGCCACTATTCTGCCTTGTCACCGTGAGAAACATAGAGACATGGAGTGGTCTATACAGCTATAGAATGCAGATATATATATATATATATGCGTAAGATTGCATGTTTTGAACATTTTGTGTGGCACGCGTGCTAGTATGATTGCATCAGCACCACCTGCACCAAAAAAGGACCAACAGACCATGTATATAGTAATCTGGGTCTGTCCTATTACCTGTAACAGGACCCGTAAACAAGCAAATGTCTTCCCTACTTTTTGGACAAGGCCTACAACCTAACCATCATCATCCACTGGGCCCAGCTAATAGGATAGACCCAATGTATAATGTTCTCAAAGATGTTCGCCTTAAACTTCACCTCGGGTCGAAAGACCCGAAAACAACATCTGATTCGGGAGGAAGGTCTTCGAGTTTATGGGATACTCGCAGCCCCGGTTGAGTATTCCATTTAGGAAGGTGCATTCATTCACCCACATTGGGGAGGTTGATCCAAGGTCAATGTACAGCATATGCAGCATATGTATGTCCCATGCAATGTTTGGGATGTGGGCACACGCCGGCACTTGGTGACCGCGCAACGTGTCCCGTCCCGTTCGCGGCTGAGGTCCGCGCTCTCCGCGGGGCTTTGCAACTTGGAGTTCGCGGCCACCGGTTTGCGCGGCGACAAGGAGAAGGGACACGGTGAAGCGGACTGCAAACCAACAGAGCTGGGAAAAGGATGAGACCGGCACAACAAATACATGTTGTTTGATATGCAGTTACTAAAAGTATTATACAGTACAACTTGCAGGTATAACTCTTGCTTGCCGTTTGAACACCAATCCAGTGGCTACCTGGAGTATTCACTTGGCTTCTGGCCCAAAGGCCTCGGGCCCTGAGCTCCAGGAGTTGGTCCTTGCGGCGGTGAAACAACATGGCCTCTCCTTGGGTGATGCCGAAAAGGCCCTGCAATCCGACCGTGAGGCGCCCCCGCGAAATTCGTGGCGAAGGCGGCGTGGCGTGGCGTGGCGCAGGCGGTGACATGCGCGACGGTCGGAGTGGGCGAGACCGGTTGGTGTTTGTTTCAAGGCTAACAGGCTCGCGAATGGCGACACCCCACTGACCGGGGTGCAGCCTGATCCGATCATGGACATGGGTTGGATCATCCGGTGCCTTGATCAATGAGTCAACGGCCGGCATGAGGTCAAGTGTGGGGACTCCAGCATGTTTCATTCCATTACCTAAGGTACTACAAACATGTGTTGCATTGTTTTGCCCAAAGGGCAAGAGTGGGCCAATTACCATGTTATTGTTATTGACTCCAGGATTCCTGTGGTCCTTCGCATTGTTCCAAACAACCTGCTCCAGAATTCCTTTGGAAGGAACTTATTATACAAAAAACATATTCGTGGTCGTGTCCTGACGGCTTCAAGCATGCTTTGCAACATGGCGTCATGCAGCATTATCATTATATAAGTGTCGTTCAGCAAGTTGCAGAATCTTGATCCATCTTGATATCTTAAGCTCCTGAAGCAAGATGAACCATGTCCAGGTAACTCTTTGCTATGGTTGGTTGGCTATTGTCTATTCTTGCTTTCCAGGGCACTTGAGAGTTCCACTCATTTCCAGCAGCCTTGCACAGTTGACTCCTGCTCTTCCACAAATCCTGGCCAAAGTGAAAAATGCGGAGTCAGATGCTTGAAAAGACCCTTCTTTCGGCCTCCGTTTCAGCATGTTCTTTTTCAGCTGTTGGCTTTCTCCACCTTTTGAGTCCCCTTCCAACATCACCGAAGCGCCGCTTCCTTCTCCGGCCCCATGGTGCGCTGGGCTTTTCTTCTCTGGACAGCGGCAGCACAGTTTGGCGGCTACACACCGCCCGCTCCTGTTTGTAAGGCATTTCAGTGCCCCTCTGGACAGCAAGCTGTGGGTAGGGAGGATGTGGACATCGTCAGCTATGGGTGCAAGGAAGCCGGCTTGAACGTGCTCAGCATGAAGGACTTCGACCCTTCGAATCCATATGCCAGCATGAATCAGCTTGGCAAAAACCTGAACAAATGCTGTTTGGAACGAGATATTTGCAAGCAAACCTGCGGCATGACTTCAAAGGAGTGCCATGATTCATATCAGACACTTGGCTCCGCTTGATGAAATGTTCATTGAAAGAAGAAAGGACCTTTCCTTGGTGAAACTCGCTGTGGGGTCTCAAATAGACTCATTGCTGCTGGCCTCTTTTCTCGAAGGAGGTGACAAATCATTCAGTGGTAGTGTACGTGTAATTACGTACACTATGTAGATGTATACAGTGACGTATACATATATACATTAATACATATATATACCCATACATACACGTACATATATATACAAAAGGTATGTTTGATGTGTTTGTCTTTGGGGCAGTGGCGCTGTTTGTATTTGGGGCGGCTACACTTGCATTACCGAGGAAGTGTCAGCAAAAGGTGTGCAAAGGCGATCAGAATTGCCAGTTGCAGGCCATGGTGGCGGACTTCACGGGCGACCCTTACGATGAGGAGAAGTACGACCCATCGAGTGATAAAGATAAATATGACCCCTTGGATTCTTGGACGGTAGATAGCTGCCCCCACCCTGTGATGGTAGATAGCTGCTAACTTTTAGTATAGGTGGACAGAGTGGTGGACAGTCATATCATCTGAAAACAACTCTCAGGCCCCACACCTGACGTTGCTTCGATGCAGCTTCTCTTTCTTTCCATGATGCAGACATCCCCAGACATCCCCTCTTTCCATGAAAGGACCGAGAGACCAATCTTTGGATGGACCTAGGACCCTAGGGCAAGAGTAAAAAGACCAACCTTACAAGCTGCAGAGATTTCATCCAGCAGTGTCACTGTGGTTTGGTGGCTCCCGCAAAAGACTCAGGAATCCAAGTGCCGAGGCTACAACAAGGCACAGGAGGCAGTTTCTCAGGACTCAAGTAGTTACTGTAAATGCTTTTGAGTGGTATGATTTGCGGTTTCAGGCTTTAGCATGCTTTGGTAAACACTTCTCTCCGACTACGGGACGTTCAAACAATATAAACATTATCGGGTGGTTTTGCCCGGACGCGGATAGAGATGTAAAACTGAACACGTGCTTCTAGTGATGTCCAGTGCCTTTGATATATAGCTTGGCTTCATATTGAATGCTTGGCTTCATGCTTTTTCTCAGGTTTGCCAGTGCTTGCCGACTTCAGAGGTAAAAGATGCCAATGAGAAGAAGCTAAAGGCCTTCTACAAGCGTTTTAACCCAGAAAAGCTGGACGAGAAAGGTGGGCAATTCGAACGATGCATCAGTGCCAGTTTACTGCTCTCATTGGAATTGATAAAGATAGTACTCCGACCCGTTTTGGTCTTGTATGGTCTTGTCACGCATGAAACACCCAAACCGACGCCGTCGAATGGGCACATGGACCCTGAGCAAAATGCTTTGGATGCATTCTAAACAAGCAATAAATAAACAAGACAAGAACGCAAGACATGGACCCAGCCTGTCTTCGAATTTGTTTGGATGTATCTTATCCCACCGTGTGCCTTGTTATTGGATATTTGTTGGGGACTGCAGCAACAAGACTACCCAATCTTGACCGGATGCCGGAGCTTGAATCAATGGGTTCTTAAAGCCTTGGATGTTGCGTCATCTGATGTCATTGCCATTTCGGCTGACGTGATTTCTGTTGTGATTGTCATTCGATCACCAGGTGAGATCAAAGATGTGGAGGAAGTGTGGAAAAAATGGAAAGGCAAGGAAGCGTCCATGTTCCTGGCCTTAGCCACCAAGTACAAAGACAAGGCGCAAGTTGAGGGCGGGGACCGGCGGACCTGACAAGACGTGTGTGGGACCGTTCCTCATATGAGCAAACTCTGACAGGCAGGCTTGAGGCTAGACATGGACCTCTACCAGCACAAAGGCCGAAAAGCTGGATCCAGCCATCGTCGATTCCGCTGCCAGGCCGTGAAGATCAAAGAGAAGCCGAAAACGCCCATGCACCAAAAGATCCCAAGGGCAAAGAGCCCGATGCTACAGTGGTTGAAGGGGCAGATGGAAGCACCGATGAGGATGAAGAGAGCGTGGCTTTTGACAAACAGCTCAAGGACAGGCTTTGGGATGCAAATGACCCAGACCTTACGGCCATGGAACATTTCCACCCCCAGGCATTGCCCCACTTGAACTTGGATCAGGTGTTTTTGTTCAGGTGCATCCTTTACTTTGCTATGGCCAGCGGCTGCAGAATCAATGATGATACATGCCCAATGCAAATTTAGTCAAATGTATATATATATATATTAATATATGCTACCTCCCCCCCCCAAAAAAAACACACACACACACACACACACCGTGAACCTTCACAGCAAGACTTCTCTGGAAGTACTAGTCAATCTGAATTCTTGTGAAAAAAACAAAAGTTTCCACAACTAGTCAAGTAGTCTGATCTTTGGACTAGTTGCCAACGATTTCTGGGCTGGATCCAAGAAGAGTTTTCTGGAAATCTTGGATCTGGATCCAAGATTTCAGGGGGCTGGATCCAAGAAAAGTGTGCTGGAAATCTTGGATCTTGGATCCATACATTACTCAGACTTGAGTTCAGAGTTGAGACTTGAGACAAACTCTTTGTTCTTGTTGTTGTTCAATGTGTATTCACTGCAGTTAATTTTTACTAGGAAAAAAAAGGTGCCCAAAATATGCAATGTTTATTGTAAATACCCATAAAATATGACTTTGTCTTTTTTGGGGGGGTACCTACTATATATATATATATATACCAAGTCATCGCCCCATGTGTGTGTGTTTGTGAAGGATTCCGGACATGTGGACTCACTTGCACCAAAGATTGGCCTATTTGGCAACATCTGGCCAGCAAGTTCTTTTGCACCCTCTGAACTCTTGGCACACACCGCAAGCTGTGTTTTGGAGGGCGGTTGTGTCACAAGGGTCTTGTAGACTATTGTAGGCAAATGCCTTTGTCGCAAGGTGAGAAACTCCCAGGGACAGCGGCCAGGAGCTGTTGAGTAAGAAGGAAGCTGCCAAGGCAGAGGAGGACTTTGATGCGGCTGAAGAGTTAAAAGAGAAAGTGCAAGAGCTGAAGCTTGTCCACTCAGTCAGCCCTGTTGCTGGAGGAGAATTCCCTGCCACTTCTGTGAGTGTAGGAGGGAGGGTAAACCGCTTAACGTAGCAAAAGCGCTACATTTCCCCCCAGCCTCAATACCAAGCTTTGAGACAGTTGAGGCATGTTGCGGCCACTTACCTTCCCAATGGATCTATCATGATCGATCTAACGGGTTCCAAGAAGAGAATTCCACCATAGGCCTTTGATGTGTTTGATAAGTTTTGCCTTAGTGATGTGCACATTCTTCGGCAGCAGCGCTATTGTTGATAGCCTGGTAAGCATCAAGTACGTACAACATGTGTGCAAATCCGTTTATGCCACAACTGAGGAAGAAGGAGGAGATTGCTCGACTTAAGGAAAAGAAGGATGACATGCTGAAAGATGAGAAGTACTTAGAGGCCAAGGCGTTGAAAGCACGCATTGCCAAGCTGGAGCTGTGAGTCGGAGTTGCGCCGCATCCGACACCGCATCCTTGTTGAGTGTGGCCGGCTGGCCCGGTGCAAAAAGCAGTGATCGCCAGGAGTTGCTTGCAAGACGAGAGAGGGTAGAACCGGATGAACCGGGCAATGATAGTGGCAATGATATATATATATACTGTATATACATATATATATAGCAGGGTCACTGCACCTGAATAGGGATGTCCAGATCGCCCGCCTATCCCAGTGACAGAGAGTGCTATATATACAGTAGAGACACTTGAAGCCTACAGAGAGAGAGAGAGAGGGAGGCAGAAGATGTGTGCGGGTCCATGTTTGTCGGGGACAGAGAAACATGGAGCGACCCTTGCGATCCAAGATTTCGACCGAAGAAGCAGCACAAAAGGACTTGTCGGAATGGAGGGGCCGTCATCTCCAAATCGGAGATCCACGGAACGGAGGGTGTGTGGAAATTTAGGGATGTTTAAAGATCGGTTTTGGTATGGGAAAGGCGGCTTAGCTCCATGAACCAGGTTCTTGCAGAGAAAATCTTCTCAAATCACCTGGAAGAATGCTGATTGTAATGTTCAGTTGTTATGGGGATGTTGTATTACTTTGCACCCACTGGGAAATCGGGAGATATCATATAAACGGCCCATATCCAACCAATCGAGTACTGGGTTGCATGAGCTGATGCGCTTTCAGTACTGGCCCAGCCCAATCCACCAAGCAAACTTCAGTTCTGCACGAATCAAGCCCCTCACAGTGGACTCAGCCTCGGAAGTCATTTTTAGGATCTCTAGCGGCTTGGGCAAATGCACAAGAAGCAAATCCACTACTAAGACCAAGCATTGTGCCTCAATCCTGGCGCTTCCTTTGCCACTGAGGTGCGGGTCAAGGCATTTTGTATACTATCATGTACCCTTTGTGAGCTCCAAATTCCAAAACCTCACTAGAACATGACTAACTGGTCTACATGGAGGCTCATTTGCCTTTTCACATGGCCGAAAACCGGGCGCGGACACTCGGCTGATCACTCTCAAACAGGTCAGGTGAAGCTCTCGGCCGCTCGGCTGCCGCAGGTGGTCTTGGCAGCCCTTTGCCAGGACTGGCAGGCCCTTCGCTTTGCTTCGAAGCACTTGCGTGAGGAGAGGAAATGGCATTTGTGTGTATTCAAGTGTAAGATGATGTTCATTCATCTAGCTAGCTATTCTAGTGTTAAATACATGTCTTTAACACACACGCCGACACGAACCAAACAACATTGCGAACTTGCTCCAACCACCGGGCCAGGGGGGTTGGTCGTAGTGAGACATTTTCACAGACCGATGAACAGACCGACTTTCAGGACTTGAATTGATGTTTTCTACACGTTTGAGGACGTGCATTGATCGCATGTGTGGACGTAAGTGGGAAAGCTTGGAGTGGAAAGCTTAGATGGTGCGATTCCAGGACAAAGAAGTGGTGCTCGCAGCTTTGCGCTCGGATGCTCGTGCTTTGTCCTTGGCCTCGGCGAAGCTGCAGAACGCAGCTCGGACAAACGGGTGGACAACGTATGCGATCTACACGGGCTTGGTCGAAGAGGGGTCAATGTAATAGGAGATTGCTGGGGATACCGGGATACCAACGTCATTTTGATGCTGTCTCTACCTGTCATCCAGTGTCAGAAAAATGACGCCCACTGTAGATGGCCTCTCAGGCTGCGGCTGATGAACAGGACCCAAAGAAACAATCGGAATCTGGTCATATTTTGGGATTGGCTCATATTCCATCTACTTCGGGATGGTTGTAATAGTTCTGGGAGGGGATAACAATGCCGGGCCAGTTGTGCCTGCCCGTCAATGTTTCAGCACTGGAGGATGTTGATGTCGTGCGTGTTCAAGCCTTCAAGCCCCGAAGTTGCCCAGGCTCGTTTTGGGGTTGCAAGTCCTAGAGTCGAGTTAGTATTGTCATAGCCACCCTTCCCAGAGATGAGAATTCTTCTATGAGGTGGACAGGTCAGTGTTTGGAACTGGGGCTTTGAGCTGAGGATCTTCAATTCATGTTGGAAGCCGTGCGTCAACAAGGCCTTTCGCTGGAGTTTGCCTCCCAGCAGTTGCGAAGCAATGCCAAGGTAGGGCGCGAAGCAGAGCACTGGGGTTCGGACCTTTGGAAGAGCAATTGGGCCAAGTGCAAATGATTGAGAAATTTCAATGCTCATCATTCATTAAGTAATCATAATTAAGCTAGCCACCCCCCAAGAACAATCAGATAGTTCATGATTCATGATACACTTCCGTGCGTCAGTGGACCCGCTGGACTTGAACCCCCTCCCCCCTACCGCTTTCCTGACTTCAACCGGGGCTTCCGTCGGGCGGATGCGCGGCGCGACCGCCAAAGGTGGTGGTCGCAGCGATCCACAGCGATGCGCAAGCATTGAAGTTCGCCTCGGCCAAGCTCCGAGGGCAGGAGGACCGGAACCGGTCGGATTTGGCCAGATGGTGGCGAGTGGAGTCGAAGCAAGCCCAGGTGACCCGGCCACTGACCAGGTCAACTGGTGTCAGGCCTGCAAAGATCCGTAAACAATCAACAGGTAAGGGACGTAAGGGAAGGCCTTCGTTTTCTGTAGACGGTGCATTAAGAAAAACATATGGAGGTGTAGAGCCATTCGAAAAAAGGTCATTAGTCGTTATAGAATGAAAAATACGTTATAATCTAGTTCATGATTCTCCATGCCTTTCGAAGCAGAATTGGGCTGTCCTTCGAGACCACCATTCAGGGTCAGGGAGGGAATGTAGTACTGTTTGGGAGGGGGAGCAACAATCTTGGTGTGGCTTTATCGCACTTTTCGGATAGGTAGAAGCCTGAAGCATTCGGCGTTCAAGGACATTGTCTTGGACGCGATCGAGAAGGATTGGAGGCTCGAGAGTGACGAGTGAGCTACGCGAAGCCAAATCGAAGAGAATGGTAGCTCCCTAAGCAGCAAGACCAAGATCGGCAGCTATGAAAGCATCCTTCCACTCTTGTGAGCGGTGGAAAGCGAAGAGGGGCTCATACACAGAGCACCAGGGAAGGAAATTCCCAAATGGATTCTCCCATAAGCCGACTTGAAGACACTAATGTGTTTGATCAGTGCCAAATGCAGCTTGGGCGCCCTCAGGGCCTATTTGTATGCTTCTGCAGAACTCCTTGAAGACAGCGAGTTTGGCTTCAAGGCAGTGCAGAGGAGTGACGCTTTCGGTGTCTTCTTCCTGAGTGGCACAGCCAAGCTGAGTGCTTCGTCCCGCTGGTTTTGTCGTTTCTTGCGCCACGGTTGCCGGGCATGTTTGTCAGAACCTTCAGTTTTGTTGCCACAGAAACATTTCTAACATGGCCGCCAGTTTTCAAAGGAGCTGGAGGATGTTGAAGGTCTTGCCCCCCGCACAGCAGCCCAACACTCAGAGTGGAGTTGGCTACAAGGGGTGGTGAAAGAGATGTGATGACTCTCTCTCTCTCTCTCTCTCTACGGGATTAGAGTACTTAGGATGGAGCCACACCCAAGCAGTTTTTTGGCGACAAAGAGACTTGTTTTCTTGCAAGGCGAGTGATTCCGAGCTCAGGAGTCCACACCGACTCCGGAAGCGTCAAGCGGAGTCGCGATGTGCTTTGAAACCAGCCAAACTGGTTCCCAAGTCCACATCGACACAGCGAAGTGTCCGTCCTTCGACCGCGACCGTGGTGCTGGTCCTCCGCCCTCCCAGGTCCCAGCGGCGCATTGTGGAGTGCGCCGTGCGGCAGAACGGCCTGGCGCTGCAGTGGGCCTCCGAGGAGCGCTGGAGAGACCCCCCCCCAGTCCTGGTGGCAAAGAAACACATGCACAAAAAGCCAACCGGTCCTGAAATCAGAATGGGATGTTGGAGGATTTGGGGATGAGATGAGCTCTTTTATTGCCTTAAAGCCTTGTTTTCACCAAGACAGCCTCTCAGAATCTCCTTGGTGCAAGCCCTACATGGACCTTCATGTCAGACCGTGCGAGCAAGGAGCAAGATCTCAACAGGCAACACTTTGTATGGCATGCACTGCTGTTCAAGCCCTCCCGCATCAAGCAAACGTTGTGAAAGGAACTTCTAGGGGCTTTCCGAGGACAAACACCGGTCACCGAACCTGATATAATTTGATCGTTTTTCTTTATTTTTTGGATGGATTTGATCATATCTAATTATAGCTGCTGCCAGGCCATTTTGTGTCCAAGAAATTTGAAATCTTGCCGCAAATCAACATTGTAGGAAATTTGGAAGTTGCCGTCCTGAAGCTCAAAATAGCTGCATGTGAGCTTGCTTTCGATCAATAAGGTATTCATAGATATTCGTAGCGTCGTAGGGAATGGGGGTGTGCGGAACCGCACAAGGGGTATGCTCCAAGAATTAATTAAAGACCTGTACTGAGGCGATTCTTTTGAACACAGAAAATGGTCGACGTTTCAGAATGCTAAAGGAATTCCCTGACATCAGGGGGTGAGGTACTGCAAGCTGTCCCACTTGCCCCAGACAAGTTGTTCTGCACTACATAGAAACATTTAGTTCGCAGTTGATTGGTATCTACCTGGTCTCGGAGAGTGACAATTTTAGTTCAATGTTTTGGGAAGCGGAGTAAAAAAAAACACTTGCCACTTAAGAGTGAAAATAGTTACATAGTTACTGCTCCTGAACGAGCTTTGTTGCTCCTTGACTTTTTGCAATTTTTTGGAATGCAAAGTGAATATTATGTGAATGCAGAGTGGGCGCAATTACTCTTGAACCGATTTTTTCCACTCCGTGGAGTTTTTTTTTCTTACCCCACTTCCCAAGAAGTCGATCGGTTCAAAACGGAGTGCTATGATATATACCACTCGTTGGATGTGTGGATAAAACTGAATGTAGACTCTTGATTAATAGCACCCCCCGATATGGATGAACGGACTTGCGGACTGTCTTGTCAGGCGCGCATCCACGCACCCCCTTGTTACATTTTGTAACGGGTGGTGGTGGACTAGTGGTGTGAGACCTCCGATGGACTACAGAAATACCCCTGTGTCTGTACACTACGAACCGGAGCATCGGCCGAAATGGTATGCGAATCCAAGATCGGTGTGGTCCTTTAAAGCGGTCTCAAGAGTGGCGTGCAAAGCAATTACCAGGTCAGAATCAACCTAATTAGGGCCAGGGTGTGTTACAAGGTCGAAGCTTTTCTTTCGGAACAAGTAATAACGAATGTGCTGTGTGAACTTCTCTCGTTTATGAATGGCAATTTCGGGCCATTCTGGCCACGGTGGTGAATTTTCTTTTAGTGAAATTGTGAGAGGCAGAATCTCATTGTGAAATGGCGGGTTGTGAGAAATGGTGAGTACTAGGTCCTGTAAATATCTGTATGTTTCCTGCGAATTCGGGAGCACCGGGCGTCGGGAAATGCCTGATTCATGATATCTGGAGAATCCTAATCTTGTCAAGCTAGATGCCCCTTGCAATTTATATGTGGGAAGGATTTTGGTTCGTGAGAATGTTTGGATGTGTTTAACTATCAGTCTGAACGTTTCTGCTAAAACACGAACCGACTTGTGTTTGGTGGGCTGCAGTGTTGTCTTTGGATCATGGTAATCAAGAATTTCGGTCGAGTTTTTATTCGTGACCCGGATTGGCAGCAAGCGCCCTGCCCACAGCATAAATGACACAGTGAGTTCTGTCCATGAAATGCCCGGATCTTTGGGCACAGGTGCTGCTGATTCGGCAGGCCATTGAAGCATGCAACAATACCTCCACACCAATCGTGCATAATTGCAACCCCAAGGGCACGACCAAAAAACTACCCTATGTGGTTCGTCAGGCATCACAAAGAAGCTTCGTGCGGCCGGCCAATCACGCAAAAATGCAACCTGTTCTGAAAATGAGTGTGTAAGTATGGATGCTGGGTGCTGTTCAGCATTTTGTTCTGCCCCTGGTGCCACAGTGTTCGTTTCTGCTGTCTCCGCTTGCCGGTGGGCACTATGCGGGGCTTTATCCTCAAGTTTATTCATTCGTTCACAAGAAAGGTCAAGTAAATATTTGTAAATAGCTGTGAGTTCGGTGTGCTGGCTTTCATAATGTTTTTGGACTTGCTCACATACTGCGAGGAAGTCTGGTAGGTCGGCAGTACATGTTCGCACTGCGGCCTCATCAGCAAGTGTATTACCTAGTATATGGTATGCTTCTACTGTCGAATGTGCGTTCTCGAGATGCAAATGGGACTTAATTTTGAAAACATGGAACCGGGACTGGTCCCATGCCTGGCACAATCTTACGATCAAATCCCAATGATCACGTTTGTGTGGTGATTCATGGATCGTGTTGGCTTCAATATGTGTTAGTACATTGACTACAAACTGGGAGTCTGTGTAAAAGGACACCTGTGATTGGTCGTTAGACGCTCTGGCTTGCTCAGCTGCGATAAGCATGGCATAGAGTTCTGCGCGGTTTATGGTCTGCAAACCAGGGCAATGTCCGGATGCTAACACTTTATAGTCGTAGTCTTTGTGTGGAGTATTCCGGCACCGTGTGCGGTGTATAACCGCCCAGGCGGCGCGGGCAACAAACGGGCTCCGTGGGTTTTGACAGGAGCCGTCTGTATATATGGTGTCGTCGGTACCAAATTCTAGTTGGCTGTTGATGTGAATTGTGTGATGACGAGAGTGCATGGCTTGGCGAATCAGCTCCAGTTCTGAGGAGTGTATTGGCAAAGGAAACCAACACAAATAAGTATTGGCCATGAGGTGATGGACGGCCTTTTGGTGCAGTTCTCGAATATGATTGAAACACGGGCACTCTAGGATGAAATGCTTGTGGGTGTCATATTGATCACAAAATGGGCAATTAGGTGTCTGATGTGCACTCCATTGGGAAATTACTCCGTTAGATTGCCATCCTGCTGTCAAGGATAATGCTAAAATTCTACGTTGTTTGTCTGAAAATTGTCGAAGGATTTTATTGGCTGTCCATGAGTCGAAAGGCAGTGGTGTCACACCTTTACGGTGTGCTATCTCATTATGGCAATGCCAATCCCAGGCTATACGGAGTTCTTTTTTAATGGTTTTGCTCGTGGAACACTGTATGCCAATGCGTAGGCCACCCGGGCCTATGAGCGTGGCGTTGGGGGTCAGTTCCCATCCCAGTCGACATAAGTATGAGGCCAGGGCTGTAGCAGGGCCACACACTTGTCCATTGAAATGACGGACTGCGGTGACAAAACGTTGCGCTAAACATGGGTGATAGACGAACAAGCGTCGGAGTGTGGTCAGTATGTCTGACACAACATAAAGCATGGGATCTTGGATTCGTGATGACAAATAGTGGAGGGCGATGTGGCTGGATGCTTGTTTATGATCGCCTACTAACACCGTAGTGGCTGCCCTTCGCAAATTGGTGAAATGCTTTTCTCCGATGGTCATGCCCAGGGCTCCGTAGAAGGTGGCTGGATCTTCTCTGCTCGTTCTTCCATAACTAAATTCAGCTTTCTGAGCCTATTGCACTTGGCTATCGCATTGTCTATTTTATCTCTCAAAGGCCCAAGAACAACTTGATTGTTATACGAGATCATACATCCCAAGTCCTGGACGTGATTTTTAATCTTAAACTGGAATTCTGGCTGGCACATGATCTGTGATGCTTCATTCCAAAATTGTTTAAGGGGCTTTGATGTGGCCCACCCCCATGATTTATCCATATCTATTTTCATACGCATATCATGGACCAAATTAAGGATCTTGACCATCGCTTTGAATGTCTCTCTTTCTGACGTCGACATAAATGACCAATTATCAGCATAGGTGAACGGGTGTACTTGCGGTGTCTTGATTACATGATGAAATATATAGCTGAGTGCTAGCATTCCAACAACTGACATGGAGTCCCCTTCGGGAAGTCCGGTGGTGGAGATTGCTGCCGGACCAATGGCATGGCCGCATTGCAGGACCCTGGTCAGTCTGCGTAAGGATTTAAACCAGAAATCACCAACATAGTATGGAATTCCGAGCAGGTTGAATGCATAGCGGACTACTCTACGTGGAATTAAGTTGAATGCTTTAACGAGGTCCATAGTCCATCCACACCACGCCGTCCGTTGAGTACGAGCCTCCTCGATTTGCAGCATCTGTACAAGACTCAAGTCTCTAGCTGACCGATGTGGGAGGCCCCCACTAATTTCTGGCGGCCATTGCGTGGTCCACTGCTTGAGTACTTGATCGGCGATTAGTTTGGACGTGAGGCGTGCTAAATAACCTAAAATTGTTATGGGTCTCCCGTCTGAAATGCTTTCCGGCCTTGGCTTTTTAGCGAACAATAGCGTTCTGGCTTGCATGCGTTGTGTTGTGTGTCCATGCGCCCATGTGCGGGACAAAAGGCTTGATAGATCTACTACCATGTCCCACGTAAGCGCTTGAAGCTCTTCTGCATGCCATCCATCTTCTCCAATGGCCTTGTATGGCTTAAGTTTATGTATTGATTCCCATAATAAATGGGGGCAATCAAACTTAATGTCAAGCGTGTCTTGCGTCGGGATAATGTTATCCAGCCTTTGAAACAAATCTGACCAAGGTTCATCTGAATCCTGATCATGCGTTGAATCTCTCTGCCAAAATTGTGCCCAATAACGATGAAATGCTTCTGACATAGGGTTAATCGTATATGCGTGTGTGTTAAAAATAACTGTGGCTTTGGCTGGGACATGTCCCTGGATCTTGTCTAATACGAGGCGTGTGTGGTCGACTTTGCGGATTTCTGCTGTACATGGACCGAACGACACCTGTCCTCCTACCTTGACCG